AACATCTTATTTTGCATTCAGACAGGATGTCAGATTAGTTGAAGCTGTAACTGAAGTTAAAAAATGTATTAGTTTGGTTATCTTTGATAAAGTAGGTTAAACTGGTATCTAGTTGCTGAACAATAGTACAGGACAATACGATTGTGGTTTTTCTGATTGCTAAAGGTTAGTTGTTTTTTTTTTATACTTGCTTTAAAACTAATACTAGTTTCATATTCAATTTTTTTTCATGCAGTAAGACAACTTCAATTTCTTTTTTTTTCATACTTTATCTGTAGTATTACAAATAATTAATGAAATTGAGAAGAAAGTTAAAAAATTCAGAGCTTTTTGAGTTCTGGCCAAAAATTCAATAAATAATATGAATATTAGTATAGTAAATTACTGATATTATATAAAAAGATATGCAATACAATACAATAAACATTATATTACGTAATCTACTTTCTGGTGAGACTTTTTGCGTACCTTCTTTAGCGATCTGCCGCCCGAAAAAAATGATGATTTAAAATAAATAATAAATTTATTTTTGGCCAGTTAGTGCACCCAGCACCACAAAAAAAAAAATGGAAATTTCAGAAAAAAATGTTTTTTGTATTTTATTTCACCCGTCATTGTCTTGAAATCTCCAAAAATAAGACATGTACATTTCTTCCTAATTGTATAAATTTAAAGCAAAGATGGAACATGCAAGAACTAACCATCCCATTTCTACACTGTTTACATTCATTAAATAAAATTTTATTTTATTTTCTCCTGGATGGTTTTGCCAAATCTATTTGCTAAATAAGAAAACAAAATGTTTTCTGCCTTCTTTTGACGATCTTTAAAAAAAGTAAGTTAGCGGAACAAGGTATAAAAAAAGTCCCGCCTTACCTGAACGTTTCGATCACAATCTAGTAACATCTACAAGTTTACAAACAGATCAACATCCTCTCATATATTCTAATATATTTTTTTTATTCAAGGAACTTTAAATATCTGAGAATTATTTTTTTTTTTGTGCGATGCTGATGTTTATATCTGGGTTGTTAAAGTCTCAGATTATTTTTGCTTGTCTAGACATATTATAAATTTATAGTATCCAATTTCAAAGTTATTCTTTAGATTACACATCATCTACACAATAACAATGTTAATTTTCATCACATTAAAGATAATAAAAATAGAGGACACAAATTAATTCATTGAATAAGATGTCGGATTTTATGTATTAGAAAGTGCGAGAGTGTGTAGTTTCCAAGCATTTAATAGTATTTCTATTGAGTATGCAGAAAACTGGGAAGACTGTAGAAACCATCATTCACAAAGGACTTAAAGTTCAAGGTTCAACGTACAATGCAAAGCCTTTATAGGAATTGTGTTGAAAGCAAACATACCTACTACAGCTTTCAAATCGCCACATACCGACTTCGGCTTTGAAAATCTCAAACCCATTGCCACATAGTTAAATATACGTGTTTACAAATGATTTTAGCATTTCATCATCATTTTGGACTTGGTAATAAAGATATGTTTTCCCCTCGTACCTATTGATCTGGAAAACGTTTTTCATTTGTATACTCGGGGAGTTGTTGCGCAACTACTGTCTGTTTACTGATGTACTGTACTCTATACAGGATATTACCATTGAAACCATGATGTCCTATTCTCAATGTTTACATGGTTTTTAAAATGTTAAGAGGTACAGTAGATAACATTCACACTTCCAAGCCTGTTTGGTTTTAATACCATAATTTAATAGGCTTGATCCATGGGGCAAAGCTGCTTACTGGGAGCCTTAGTGTTCTAATAAACCAAGTATTTGTTCAAATATAAATGAAAATATCCGGTTTTTGAAATTTAAATCTGATTGACAATTGTTAGTGGGAACAAAACTTGTTTTCCTAGATGCATAAAATCCTGCCCAGACTGCCAAATTTTATTTGACAAAAGCATGTGACTTGACCTGAATATGGCTATGATGACATCACATCATGACTATATATAGACACATCATGAATATGTATGAGCATACAACAGTTTTTGGTCGAAAAAAAAAAATAATAATAATCTGGACAGTCGAGCTTAACATATGGAGTGATAAAAATAGCACATATCAGACATGTGTGTGTGACCTGATTTTTTGAGCTTACAAGTTGGCAACTAGACAGAGAAATATTACTATAGAAAAATAGCTTTAATGGGATAAATGAATTCTGGTAACAATTGGTTTTGGCTATATAGGCTGATTACAATTTGGCAGCTCACGAAGTTCAGTACAGGGAGTGAATTTCAAAGCCGGATTCGAGAGGCGGCCTGGGTCCCAGTAAATGTTTGCATTAAGAAAAGAAAATTGAGATCTGTTAGATATAGACATTAAAATCTTTGTACCTCTGCCCTAATCATAGCGGCACTAAAGTAGTCCCTCCCATCCATAATATTCCCTCTTCATGGCCTCCTCTAATTTGAATTTCTGGGATGCACCACTGGTTTTCATTCATAATACTGTAGTCAGTTCAGTGTAGATCTGGAAGGCAAGCATCTTAATTATAGCTCCATTTTTTTTTATTATCTCAATTTGCATTTCTAGTAATAAAAATAATACAGTAGTTCCTCGGTTGTAAGCCCAACCTCTACTTTATGCCCAATTTTTCATTTTTTTTCTCTCGAGCAAAAGCCCAGGGTATGATCTGAATGAGGAGCTTAGCTGACTTTTTACAAGTACTCTAAAAAATATGTACTGTAATTAAATATTGGCTTTAAATTATACATGCATTGCTGAATATAAAGTAGATTCCCTGGGTATAAAGGCTCACCCACCAAAATCAGTCCAATTTTGTTTTCTGGAGTTATACCAGAGGAAGTATGGTATTTTATCAAGTTTTATTGTCTCTGAGATTGAGTTAAAATTGTACGCTAGTGGTTTTTTGGACCGGTGGATATGCATACATAATCAGTGGCATCCTGTCCTTTTTAGGATGTTGATTATGTATGCTATCAATTTGTGATTAGTAGCAGCATCCTCTGTAGTTTCTTGCTGGTAGGTAGTATACAGAATCTCTTCTCATTCTCAGTGCTTATGCCTACAACCAAACAACATATGGTTAAAGATTACCAAATTGGTTTATTAATATACAACAGTTACCTGTACTCAAAATGTTATTAGGACAATAGCTGCATGTAAGTACTGTAATGATTTATATTTGGTGTATTTAAATGGCTTTGTATTTTACTCAATATGCGGAATGGATAATTTAAAGACATTTTAGTAGTGCACTGTTTAAATTTAAGTGGTAAACTTTGTTGTAGTCTATACTGTAGAAAATGTATGACGAGAGGTGGTCATTTTTAAGACATTTTTTAGGCTACTTTAGCGATGCAGTGTCTGCAAAGTGCTGGCAATTTAAAAAAATTGTTATAGGCTTTTACTGTGGCAATGCACTTTAATCGGTTGAGGAGTGGTGGTAATTTTTAAGACATTGCAGTAGGCCTACTGCAGTGCACTGTGTGAATTTGTTGTCAACGCCTTTTTACCCCATTCATAAAATACTTAATTTGTTGCAATGTGGTTGGTTGTAATCAGGGAAGGACCAATCGAGTAATGTACACCATCATCTTGGTGCCAAAGGTCAGTTAATGCCATAGAGGGAGGTCTTCAGCTAAACCTATTCTACAAACAAGATCCTTACCAGTGCTGGCTAGATTTGGAGCAAAAGCAACAATCTTTCATAACATCATGTCTATTTTGACACATACAGTATTAAAATGATCACTATTAAACACAAACATCTGATGAAACAAAGACATAATTGACCATGAATGTATAAATCCAGTGATTGGTTCATGTACTGTACACTTGTGAATATTCGTGCAATTTCTTCATAGTTTCGTTTTGTCGCAACCAATCCCACCGTGCAACAGGGAGTAATTGATGCAGATTTCGGTAAACATTCAGACAGGCAGTTGGATGTTATATCGCTATAATTCTCTACAATAGGGTATTCATTATACCGTCCTTGATCATACTAGCTGTTGCAATACTGTGTAGAGTGAGATGGTAATGTTTAAAAGATATTCTCTGCGAAGTGATGGTAATAATAATAATTTATTGACCTACCACTATTTATATCTGGCGACACAAAGAAATTGTGCATCCATTCAACTTCAAGTAACTTCAATTATTATTAATCTCAGTAGACCAAATAAAAATAATATTACTGTAATGGTACAAAATACTATGTTGCATAACCGATGAATTATGCATAAAGGATTATTGCCTTGTATTCGTAACTGCATATTCCTGTCATCATGCTATGCATCGTTAGTTAAAAAGAAGTGCATGGGCAGGGACTGCATTGCAGTCTCCATGCCGACGAATTGTGTGCCCAGCTTTAGGTAGAGCTACCTGCATTCTCTGATACATAAGAAACTGGGGTTTTAAAACAGACAGTCTCCTTCCGGTCCTATGAGGGGCAGATCCAGAGAAAAATCTGGATTGGGGTCATGTGATGTGCGATATACTGAGTGGGGTGGTATTTTTATTTTATATAAAAATGCTTGCCCATAAACACTGTTACATGGAGTTTTAATTGAAACTAAGATGTTTTTTTAGTACCATGCTCCCATCATTTTCTTTTTCCCAGAGTCTGTCTCTTATACACATCTTGGGTGGCCCTGCCACCGTGGCCCCGTAGGTCTGCCCATGCCCAGTTTTTTTTTTTAATGAGGATGATCTACAATTTTATTTTACCTAATTTTAAAGGCATTGTAGTACTTTAGGTGTACTGAACATGGGCAGTGGTTGATTCAGTTCACTCCAGTGAATTGTGTATGATGATTGTAGATTTATCTAAGAGTTTACCATAATTATATCAGTTGTATTTCTGAATCATATGCTCTTGGTTAGAAATGTATGCTCTTGGTTAGAAATGTATGCATTAAGAAAAATATTATTTTGATGTGTCAGTTATATGAAGTTGATTCTAAATAAAGTTTTTTAATCTCCTTGATTTTTGTAGATGAACTAGAAGAGGGGACAGATGATGACAAATTCAAAGGAAAGCAAATAAAAATGAATAAATCCGCACGCAGCCGAAAAAGAAAACAAATGCTGATAAGAAAACAACAAAAACAATGCATTAACATTTACGAAGAGTTGACAAATGGACAGAATATAGCACAGAATGAGACGACTACTCTGATTGATTTGTCATACAAACAGGAAGGAATTGGCAACAAAGAAGATAAAGACTCTGACGACGGCAGTATGACTAATGAAAACGGCAAGCTGGAAAACTCGGTTTTTCATTGCGCTGATGATGCAGATGATTTTGAGATTGACAGCAACAACAGTTCCTCAAAAGATGGCGAACAGAATGAATTTAATGATGAAGCCAATTTTCAAAATCATGTGACCTCCCTCTTTAATCAGGTATGTCTCTAAATATATATATATTTTAAGTTGATGGCTAGCCTATTATAAGCTTGACTTTATAATGATGAAAATGACAGTGATGTTGGTGTTGATGATGAGTGGTAATTGATCCACAACGTGAAACTCAGTTGCATCTAAAGGTGGCATGGATGCGAATTCCCCAAAAAATGTTTCTCCATGCCACTGGAAATTTTTTTTCCTGCCCCTCGGCGTAAATATTTGTTAGGGGGTCATTAAAGAGAAAATGTTTTGTACTCACTTAAAAAAAATATGGATGACCTTCATATTAGTTTTATCGTAATTTATACATTTGCTTTGCCCTTTAATTATTAATATTAATATTTTTAATATTAATTGTGAAATTTAATTATCTTTTGCAGCCCCCTATGAAACGCAGAAAACCCATGAGGATGCCGTATAGTGAGCCCAAAGATTTGACTTGTCAAGTTTGTGGTGATGTTTTGCCAAATGCAACTGAGCTAACTGTCCATATTCGCCAGCACAACATACCCAGTAACTCCAATAATCACAGCTGCAACATGTGTGGACGCATCCTCAGTTCTCAAAGCTCTCTGGACCGACACATGTTAGTTCATTCCGGTGAAAGACCTTTCAAATGTCCGATATGTAAGATGGCATTTACCACTAATGGAAATATGAATCGACACTTGCGCACTCATGAAAAAGAGAATGAAGCAGTTGCAGAGACTAGCATTTTCGATGTCACTCTTCAAACAAATCGTCAGCGTAAGCGGATACCATCAAAGCGTCTGTTAGAATGTGATGAGGATTATATGCCCATTAAGAAGAAACTTGCACCAAAATCACCGATAAAAAAAACCAAACCCATCATCCCATTACCCAGAGAAACAGTTGAGATCTCTTTACAAACTGAAGATTTAAATTGCCCTGTCTGCCACAAAGCATTTCTTTGTAAGTATGGGGTTCTAACGCACATGGAAATGCATCCACATATGTCACTTCGTTGCTCTATTTGCTCAGCCGTCTTCAAAAATCATAAAGGTTTACGAATGCACATTCAAATGGTTCATGAGAAAGTCATGAAACAAACTGCAAGCTCTGTACCTGTAGGCTTTCAAGATCTAGCTTGTCTACATGTCGATTTTTCTTCTAATAGCTTTCCCAGAGTTGCCCAGAAATGGTGTGAAGACAATGCAAGAAGATGTGGATCTGCCCGCATTAAATTTGTATGTAAAGTTTGCAACAAAGCCTTCCCATGCAGAGCTGCCTTGGAATTACACGAAAATACCCATGATGATAACATGACAGATATCCAACAACAGCCATGTGACACAATGCACAAGATGCTAGAGGCACCAAGGGATCAAAATCAGTTTCTAGCATTGTTTTCTCTTCAACCAACTAGTGGCAGTACAAAAGAATACAAAGCCAAAGCATTTATTGGAAATCCAGCTCCTTCACCAAGAAAGAGCACAAATGTCTCAAATAGTTTCATCCAATCCTCACCTCGGAAGAAACCTCTCCAGTGGCACAATCTATCGAAAGATTCAATGAAAATGGCCTCCACTGTTCCAAAGAAAGTTTCTCCATACATTTACCCAATTAGATCGATGACCTTATTGACTCAGCCTAACATGATAAAGAGGTCACCTGCCAAAGGATCTGCAATCAGTACTGGTTCTGTGCAAACTCTACCTGTTTATAAAATGGCTCCCTCACCACCACCATCACTTCAGAAAATTAAAGTTAAAATAGAACAATCCAAAGATGAAATTCAGGTCATGGATTTATCACCAAACATGACAGCTAGTACTGGGGATGAGGGAAGCGCTATGGAACCGGAAGGTAATCCAGAAGAAGCTGGAAGTGAGAGATTAGTTATGTCTGATCCTGCGGATCCCAGCGCTTCTAATGTAGACAAGAAATTTCTACACACTTGCAAATATTGTAATAAAGTTTTCCCTTTCGCCAGCACTCTAAAGATTCACATGAGAAATCATATGGGACTGACCCCATATCAATGTATGCTATGTACGTATGCCAGTGCTGATAAGAGCACACTTGTACGTCACATGCGCACACACAGTGGTGAGAGACCATTCTCTTGTGGAATTTGTGAATTTCCATTTACTACAAAGGCAAATTGTGAAAGACATATAAGAAAGAAACATAATAAAGATGACAAAGCCGATATCGAGTCTTGCATCATTTCCAACGAAAACCCAAAGTTGGTCGAAACCACTTTGTTCACTGCACCAGAATCTGTATGCAGTATATGTGGCCGCAATTTTAAATTTTTCAGAGATCTTCAAAACCATATGAGAGTTCATGAAAAGTGTGATGACAAACCCTACATATGTAGCAGGTGTCCGAGTGGATTTGCATCAAGAAGTAACTGTATGCGACACATAGCCAAGAGACATCCCGAAGTTCAGCCAGAAGATGTAGAAAATGTTATGATCATTCAAGAACCAAGCAAACCAACTTCTAAGAGTGATCCACCAATTGAAGATGCATTTGAACAGCCCCTTGACTTCAGTATGAAAGCAGACAAACCAGCAATGATTGCTTTAGCATCTGCAAGCCAACTGCTTGCTAATTCTGCAGGTAGTGATGCACAACGGAAACAATTTCCTAAGTTACTTATTCCTCATTCATCCATTGGAAAGCTTCGTTTCAAACGAGTGTACCACAAGTTCTACAGCAGGGCTGTTGATGCATTAGTTTGTCCCCACTGCGATCTTGCCTTCAGTAGAAGCACCCTATTTAAGAGACACATTCGCTCACACACAGCAGAAAGACCTTTTCGATGTTACTTCTGCTCAGCAGCTTTTACAGTCAAAGAAAATCTTGATAAACATATGGTGAAAAGACATAATAACATAGCCGATGGCTCTCAACAGTCTTTCATTCCAAAAGTAGCTACACCAATGCAACATAAACTTCTTTCGAAAACTCCATCTAAGAGGCCTTCGAAAACAAGATTGAAACCATCCACCAGACAATGGGTTGATCTCACCAATTCAACTAATAATGATGTACCAGTTTCATTTGTTCAAAGTTTTAATCCATCTTTAAGTGCAAGCCTTGAATCGGATACAGGCGAAGATTTGACAAGTATTTCAAAAATGCTTGCTGCTACAAACACCCACAATTTTCAGTCACTCTTAGAGGCTAGACTGATGAACCCACCAGTAACAGAAAACCAGCAAATTAGTTGTAGTGTGGAAGAACCTATAACAGATAAGTATGAAGACAAAGCTCTAAGCCTAACACCATCACCCTCACACACCCCTAACTCTCAACGGGATGTAAATTTAGAGGAACAAATTAAAACACCCACCAAACAAGATGATAAAAAAGGTGTAACAGAAGAAGAAAAAAAGGGTCGAGTTCGATATAAATTTGTCAAAAAGTTGTCATGTCCCTATTGTCCTAGAATGTTTCCATGGATAAGTTCCTTGCGTAGACATCTTTTAGTTCATTCCGGATTGAAGCCATATCAATGTGTTAACTGCACAGCAACCTTCTCAACCAAATCCAACTGTGAAAGACATATGGTTAGGAAGCACAACATGACTCAGGACGAAGCAACTAAACTTACAACAGTTAATCCCTTTAATTGTGAGGTTTGTTCACAGGTCTCTTTCAACAGAATTGATTTACTTGAGTCTCACTATGAAGAAAAACATTCTGAGCATCCCTTGCCTGCATACTTTTCAAGGGCAAAAGAAGTTATGCAAGTCCCACTTGAAGAACTTATGAGCAAAATCAAATCAAAATCAGATGGTAGCCTTCAGAAAAAAGAACAGACAGGGACCAACCAGATTGTGGGGCACAATAAGTCAAATGAAATATTACAGTTATGTAATGGTGATGGTGATTTAGAGGAACTGTTCCAAACTACCAACGTGAATGCAGTCACAGATGTTCAAGAACATGAAGCTGATATGGAATATGTTGAGATGTCTGAAGATAATGCTGCTACAAGGTTTGAGGATGAAAACAAAGCAATTGAATTTGATGAAAAAATTGGCATTGATGTTCATACTGAGGAACAAGTTGACATGGGCAAGGATGGAGAAGATAGTGAAATAAAATCTGTGACTAATGAACACCTAGAGGATGAACCGCAACAGATTATTAAAAGCAAAAAAATGAATTCCTCTCCACTATTTAATGGACGTAAACGCAGAAAAGTCAGCTGTACACACATTTGCAAACAATGTAAGAAGAAGTTTAAGAATTCAGCAACACTACGTCGTCATTATCGGGTGCACACATTAGAACATCCATTCAAATGCTCCATATGTTGTTCTTCTTTCACAACCAAGTTCAATTGTCAAAGACACATGATTAAAATCCATGGTAAACAAAGAGAGGACGTGTTTAAGGTGATGGAGTTGTCAGAGACAGAGCAAAATGAATTGATCAAAGAAGCTACCAGCCAGATAAGTGCAGTTAATGCAGATGATGATATTAACGGGAATAATGATGCAGATTCAGTTCATTCATCTAATGACACAGACCATACGTCGTCAGAAAAATCTTTTAATAGCTGGGTTACAAAAACAAGTAACTCCCCAGGAAAACAATCATCTGAGGATGTACGCAGGAAATTTTCTTGTGATGTTTGTCAGAAGAAATTTCTATCCTCGCGTGACTTAAAACGTCATGACCGTACACATACAGGTGAACGCCCATTTGTATGCACAGATTGTAATCGTAACTTTGGATTTAAGCATAGTTTGGTTCGACACCAGCGAACTCACAACCATTTCAATTGGACCATACAAAAATCATCTGAGAAATTTTCTTCTGAAGTAGATGCAAATTCTATCCAAGATCATTCTCAAGACTTTGATCTTTCTAGTCTTGGCACTAACGATCCATCACTTCACTCTCAAATAGAAGCTTATGAGGACAATCTCTCCAATTCAAAAGATATGTACATTCCCTCAACACTGCAACGTAATAACATGTTGATGCAAGAGACGTCTGGTAATGACTGTGACCTGTTTGAGGATGGTGAGAACCTGATGAGTAGGATAACCGACTGTGACATCATTCAGAATCTTCTTGGCATCCAGGATTCATCAATGATTGATGAGATGCTGGACTCTGCAGACTCTGCTGCTAAATTATTGGGGGTTGGAGAGGCCTAAGTATGGCTGCTCTGCTGCTAAATTATTGGGGGTTGGAGAGGCCTAAGTATGGCTGCATCGTTAGATTGATTGCTCTAAAGTACTGGGTGCTGGAGAAGCTTAAAAGTAGTGAAAAAGACATTGTTGACAATAACATTGATTCAGTAGCACTTTGTATTAAATCATGGATAAATAATTGAAAGAAAATTAAAAAGAGAAAATGAATTTATTGACTGTTGATCTATTATGCATGCTCAGTACTGGTGAACACCTAAAAATGAATTTTAGATGCTTTCAACTCCATTACTAAAGAATATTCTTACTTTTAAATCTTGTATTGTTTTTCTTTAATTATTTTAAAGAAGTATATTTGTAAGTAATTTAAGTATTGATTCTAAAAAAAAAACAGGTTGCCTTTTTCTAAATGTTTTTTTGAGCAATGTTAAACATTGCATTATTTCCAAGGTGGTGGGTGTTATAAATTAATAGCAAATCAATTTTTAATTAATTTAATAAATCTTTCAGAACTAGAAAATGATGGTAATTGAATGGTTGCGATATGTTCTGAGTAGCGATGCAAAATGAAATCTGTAGCAACCATGCAGAATATGCAAATAAAGAAAGTATGTTTGAAATTATGTAGTCATAATGTGTTATGCAAGTCAAAGTTCTTCCTCAGATTTCTTATATATATATATAATATATAATATGCAATATTTTTACATGTTGTTTGTTAGTCCTTAAATTGTTTAATTAATGTATTAAAAGGTTGTATGTACTTCCACTGATTATTAAAATGTCCTGTTCCTATTATTAGCAATTTAGGTTTATATTGATTGTAATATTAATCGATTTAATTTGATTATTATTATTACTTAAACAGCAATAATGTCTATTTATGCTTTGTCGAAGGATCCAAGGCAAAACATAATTATCAATTTTTTTTGTTGCTATTTTAATACATGCATTGTTACATTTTCTGTATTTAAAATGAAGTACAGTACAGTACATGAGTTCATAATGAAATGCACTGTATGTGCTTGTTTAATTATGTATTACAAGCATGTTAGGAATTTATGCACTTGTATCTAATCACTCATTCATGTTAAAGTTGGTATTGTCAGGTTTACATTAGAATGTGTATTATTTTGCATGCTTTGAGTTGAGATACAGTACTCGACTAATACATGCACAGAACCATGGACTTCCCTATATTGACTATGCAAAAACAGAAAATATATAACTGTTAATTTGTTGAATGAAAGATGTATAGGTATTTTCTTTAATCTTTTATATGTAGAAATCACATGTTTTATGCTCATTTTATGAGCAATGTTTACACAGAAAAAAAATATTTTGTTCACACATGAGACTATGTAACTTGAATATATTGATTTACAACGGTAGATTTGAGAGTAATTTAATCTGTATAATTATGGTGATGTTTATTTTATGTTGATTTAATTTAATTCAGTACTACTATTACTACTACTATATTCTTTCCATTATTGTATGCAATAGATAACGTTTGTATGTACTAATTACCATATGAGAGATATTCTAATCGGGTTACAATTGGCAAGACTCTTTTATGTATATATTTTTGTACGTTTGTCGATATTCACACTTGGTATATAATGGTGTTTTTTTTCCGTAATTGGGATTTTACTCATGGACTACGTATATGCTATGCATTTACTGTGTACTGTACTTTTTGTTTTCATTGAGGTGTTTGGAAGTAGTTTTTATGTACTTTATTATTAATTACTCTGTCATTTTATTTACTCTTACGTAAAATATCTCGAGCCAAAGCACTAGAAATCAATGATGAGAAAAGAATAAAATATGCACGTAGGGGATAAATTTAGAATGTGTTAATGTGATCATTGTTGTTGGTTGAATCTATTTACCCCAGCAGGCTTGTTATTTATTCCACTTCCTCGACATCAGTTTGAATGTTGATCAGCAATAAATATCAAATGGACCCTTCTGGGCTGTCAATCAAACTAGTGAGAACCGGGTCATGAATACGCGTTTGCCACAAACGCAGGTGTTCCCACACAAATACACGCGTTTACGCTGTCGTTTTTGTGAGACCTCGGGGGCCGGGGGGGGGGGGGGGGGGGAAATTTGGGCCGAGTGAGACAACACTGTCGTAGGGGGTCCGGGCATGCCCCCGCGAAATTTTTGTGTTCTAGACGCCCGAACATAACATTTGAGACATTCTGGGCTATTATTTTTTTCTTTTTCCCTCTTTTTTTTTTACTTCCCAAAAGGTGGGGGAGGGGGCGGTACGAGACGTGTAACTGTACCAGAGGAGCATTCGGTGATATTCCAGGCCGCCAACAAATCCCGTTAATAATATACTTGAAAATTTAAATAACCACCAGAAGGATACCTTGCCGATTATGAATATGCATAAGCAATGTCGTAGTCAGGATTTTCAAACAGTGTGGGACAATATCAGGGTGGACCCACTTTACGCGTAAATTCAAATAATGTGGACCCATTTTCTTAAAAGTTGTCCCTTTTTACGCAAAAATATGAATAATCTGGACCCATTTTCTTAAAAATTGAGCAAGTTTGCTAAAATATGAGAAATGGACACATTTTTAATGTGGACCCAATAAAAAAATTGTATGGGACTGTCCCAACTATAGCTGGCTCTACGGCATTAAGTTGTGCATAAGTATTTTTTCTCCCAAGTTGCAAGTTTGGCCACCCTGCCGCTGCCTTCGACCATTCAAAGCATTGCAAAATATATTTGGGCATTCCACATGGTCTTATCTTCCCGGAAGTTTCAGCCTATGCATGGTATCTAGAAAAAGTGTTTTTCTACTTAGCCATAGATACTGTAGTCGGTTTTTTAATGGAGGTACTCCTTCTCTACTAAAGCCTGCAGGCTCAGAAGAAAAAGAAAACATGCACTAATTTTTTTAAGACACAAAAAGGGATGTTTGACGAAAAACTGGAGAATGGTTAAACGAGATACAGTATTTTTGAAAATGTTTGAAAAAAGGGTTTATTTCATTTAACCAAATTATTAAAAAGGATAAAAAATACAGTAATTATAGCATTACGAAGGAAATATAAAAATGGAATATGAATATATTTACAAACACTAGGAGGTTTTGAGAATGTTTATATACGGTGCCATCAAAACTATCTTAGGTCAAAAAAAGCTAAACCCATGGTTGCTAGGGTCCCACAAACGAGTGTAGCGTGAAAAAGCATAAGCTGATTGGTCAGTGCTGATTGGTCAGTTTTGTCAAGGTTGATTGAAAATTTTTGAAAGATCCATTCGGCTCGGGAAAACGGCGACCGGCCAGCATTTAGTTGGAGAGATAGCTGACATTTATTTAAAGTATTGAGTGCAAAAGGTTTGAGTGTGCAGTTCTATTGTACTTTGCCTACAAATGAAGGAACGGGGCATCTTAAGTTGCGCAATCCTGGGGTTTGGTCCCTAAGGGTCCCAAAAGTGTGACCCAAAAACCCATTTAATTAAAATTTCGAGTG